AGATTTTATTTATTTGAGACAGAGAGAATGAGAGACAGCATGAGAGGGAGGAGGGTCAGAGGGAGAAGCAGACTCCCTGCCGAGCAGGGAGCCTGATGCGGGACTCGATCCAGGGACTCCAGGATCATGACCTGAGCCGAAGGCAGTCGCCCAACCAACTGAGCCACCCAGGTGCCCATATGCCCTTAGCATTCTTATTTCTGAATATGAGGATTGGGAATTCTGTGAACTGATAAATGGCCTCTGGACAGAATTATTTGTATTTAGGAACTCTTTTAAGTTTTGTATGTGACTGTTTTGTTTTGGTTTCCCACAGCACAATGGAAAGAGTTGGGGCTTCAGGCTTTACCTCCAGGCCTCATGGTAGTAGAAGAAATTATTTCTTCTGAGGATGAGAAAATCCTTTTGGAAAGCGTTAACTGGACAGAGGATATAGACGATCGTAATGGTAAGTAAAACTTCTCAAATTTGATATTTAAATGTCTCTGCAAAATGCCATGCTAATGCTTCTCCTTTCCTCCTCCTCCTTTGCTTTACTGAAATTTCTAATATTGCCTCAAAATTACTGAGTGGCCTAGATCTAATATTAGGCAAGTCATGCCAACAGTTCTTAGGGGCATTAATAATAAATGACATTTATATAGCTATCAATTTTAAGCTCCAAACTAATTAATATTTATTAGCTAACATTTGTAGAGCCGGCACTGATAAGCCCTTTCACATACATTATCTTCTTTGATCCTGTCCCTCCCCCCCACCCCCAGGCATATTTCTGGTGCGGGATCAGCCGCTCGGTACCTTGCTGCCGAAATGCAGTAAGAGCTTCCTGGAGCTCTGTGCAAATTAGAGTTCCTCTGACTCTTTCCAGATATAAAAGGTCTTGTGAGTGGCAGCGTCCATGTTTGACTTTTTCAGGTTGATGGGATGAAACTCTCCAAGGGTTTGTTACCATTTTAGACTGAAAAGAACAGCAGAGGTGAGGTAGAATGGTTACTTTTATTAAAGACAGTAATTTAGCAGTTACCAAAATCACCATTACTAAAGGAATCCTGACTCACAGTTTTGACTTTGAAACAAAGGAATGCAAATATTTTTCTCTCAAATAGTTTACTTTTTTTTCTTCATTTAGTTCAAAAATCCTTAAAGCACAGGAGAGTAAAGCATTTTGGTTATGAATTCCACTATGAGAACAACAGCGTAGATAAAGACAAGCCATTACCTGGGGGTAAGTAATTGCTAATAAACGACAAATGCTGGCTCAGAAAAGAAAGATTTAATATATTGGAAGTATGTCATAGTATGTTTCATTTGTCATTTCTAGGTAAACTGTTGAAATAGCTGATTAAATTTAAAACATTTAAATTACATACGTAGTGCAGTTTTGTTATAAAAACTGGATACATGTAGCTAAGGCTAAAGTTCCTCTTGAACACCAGCCTTACTCCCGTACTTCTCGGAGGTAGTACTATTAACAGGTGAGCACGTGTGCTGTAACAAAGAGTTTACATCCCAGTGGAGATACTGTGGAACTATGTAGTTGTTAACATGGAGTATTATATTGAGTATTGTATGTTGTATGTTCACATATTACACGTATGCCTCCAACTTGTTCTTCTCCCTTTATTGAATGTCTTGGAGATCTTGCCTGCTTTTTCATTGTATTCAGTGTTCAATAGTGGCTTATTCAGTTAGCTCCCTTTGGTAGACATTTAGATTATTTCTAGTTTTCGCTTTTATAAGGAGTGATGCTCTGCGTGTCTTTGTGTTTATCTCTTATGCAGTAAGCAAGAATTTCTCAAGGGAGACTGCTAAGTAGTAGAATTGTTATGTCAGTTATGTCCATTTAAAAATGTTAATAGACAGGGGGCACCTGGGTGGCTCAGTCATTAAGCGTCTGCCTTCGGCTCGGGTCATGATCCTGGAGTCCTGGGATCGAGCCCCGCATC